AGAGGTGTTTGAACGTGAGTTATATGGCCGGCTTTGTACCCTTAACTGTGATGTGGATGGTGGATAAAGAAGAGAACAGCGTGCTACAGAGCAGAATGAGTGTGTGTGTGTGTGTGTATAGGCTGTTGGGTATAAGCATATTGAAGGGGAGGGTTGAGGTGGGTCTGGTCTCATGGCACTATCCAAAGTTGTCTTATGCCTGCTATCTCCAGTGCTCCCTATCTGATTTAGAGGTAATGACGGAGTGAACATTTCCGTCTGATGGTGGCTTGGCCTTTTGCAAATGAGTCTGATGGGTCTTAGCAACAGAAAAAAACAGGACTGGGAGACTCTCCCGCACATCCTGGAGAACACAAGACTGGATCTTATCAAAGAGCCCCAGAGTAAACACAGGGTGCGTCTAGACTACATGGCTCCGTCGACGGAGCCACGTAGATGAGTGTACTCAAAGGGAAATGAAGCGGCGGTTTAAATAATCGCCGCTTCATTAAAATAAACATGGCCGCCACGCTGTGCCGCCGATCAGCTGATCCGGCACAGCACAGCAGTCCAGATGCTCCGCGGTCAACAAGGGAAGCCTTTGTCGACCGCTCCGGTAAACCTCATTTCATGACGCATACCAGAGCGGTCGACAAAGGCTTTCCTTGTCAACTGCAGAGCGTCTAGACTGCCCACTGTGCCGGATCAGCTGATCGTCGGCACAGCGTGGCGGCCATGTTTATTTTAATGAAGCGGCGATTGTTTAAATCGCCGCTTTATTTCCCTTTGCCGAGTACACTCATCTACATGGCCGTGTAGTCTAGACACACCCATAGAATGGGAAGCCTGTGACCCTGGGGAAATGGAGTTGGTCTCCCCACGTGCTTTGATAGAGAATAAGTTCCGGTCTTGCTTTTGACTTGTCCGTTCTTTAGTAACTGGCAGTTGTCTGTCTAATGGCTCTTGTTGGCTCTCTGTGCCTGGTGGGTGGAAATCCAGGGGAAACGGGAGCAAGTGCAGATCATTAAGGGCTTCTCTGGGTTGGGGTTGGAGTTGGAATGGATAGGTTGGGGGAAAGTGTATAGAACACTAGAACTGGAAGGGACCTCAAGAGGTCATCAAGTCCAGTCCCCTGCCATTGTGGCAGGACCGAGCATCATCTAGTGGTCTCCAACCTTTTTACACCCAAGATCACTTTTTAAGTCTCAGAACAGGTGAAGATCTACTGCCTCGCCCCACCCTTGAAGCCCCACCCTCTCTATTCTCCTCCTGCCCATCACTTGCTATCCCCAGCCCTTATACACTCTGATAAACAGTTTATTTTTAAATTATAAAATTAAAATCACATGTTTATACTTATGAAATAAATGGTCTGTTTTTAATTCATGCTATTTAAATGTCAAATGAAGCATTTACAATTATACATTTTGTTCTCTGCTATTTTGTAAATCTAAAATCAAGTATTGATAATTATATATTTTTTCTTCCAATAACAGTCTTGGTGTGACACCTGTGACTGAACAGTATCTGCCAGTGTCTTGAAGTCTGAGTTGTAGTCTGAGATTGCTAGTTGTATATAGTCCATCAGATGGGCATCTGTGATCCTGCACTCAGCCTGGGAAGCTTGCTCCAGTACAGCTGGAGCTAAACGCAGCCTCCCTGGGCTGAGTGCAGGGCAGCCAGGCTGGAGGGAAGAGAAGTGTCTGCCTGGCCAGCTGGCCATGGCGCTCAGCCAGGGTGCACCAAGCTCCACATGGGCAGGCGCAGAGGAGAAGCCGCCGATCAGCTGGAGCATGGGGCAGCCTCTTTCAGCTGAAAGCCAGTCAGCTGGCTGGGGTGTTTCAGCCCTCCCAGCCTCCCAGCTCCCACCATTCCTCGCAGCTACTCTCCTGTGTTGTTGCTCGGTGAGTAGCTGCTCCTCAAATGAGGAAATCTAGTGTAAATGTACTGCGCAGTTCAGAGAGGGCTCAAGAGCTACTCTTAGAGCCCCTGAGATCTACCAGTAGATCGCGATCTACTGGTTGGTGACCACGGATCTAGATCATCCCTGACCAACATTTATCTAATTTCCTTTTAAGTATCTCCAGTGATGGAGATTCCACAACCTCCCTAAGCAACTTATTCCAGTGTTTAACCACCCTGTTAGGAAGTTTTTCCTAATGTCCAACCTTAAACCTCCCTAGCCCATTGCTTCTTGTCCTATCCATGAGTATCTGCTGGCGTGAGTAGTGGAGTTATTCTCTGCCTGGAAGAGCCTTCATCTGGACAAAAGGAGGCTGGGGACTATAGGAAGCCAGTAATTAGTGCATATGCCTCTGTTTTTCTGAGACCTTCTGTTGGCACGTGTCCACAGGAAGGCTGCAAAGTGGCCACATTTGGCATTAGAATTTCTCTTTCTGAGGCCGTTGGCTGCAATACGATTAGTCCTCTTCGGTGTTTAAAATGAGCGGAGGGGAGGGAGGAATGAAATCGGCGACGTTTCTTTAAAAGGTTCCAAACCACTCAGCTTTTCAAGTTACTTTGACATGAGCAAACGGCGGCGTCTGTGTGTCAGCTTTGCCCACCTGAGTGTGAAATGATGTTCTATCAAAACACCGGTTTCAGCATTTCCCTCTCCACTCCTGACATGTGAACCCTGCTGCGGACAGTAACTGCTGCTTTCTGCCCAGGAATTTCACTGATATTGCAGTACAAGTGGAAACATTTGCTCAGTGGTAATGATGGGGTCTGGCTCGCGCAAGCAAGGCAAGGTTGGAAGGCTATGATTGTGAAGGACTAAATAGCATCGCTCGCTGCATTTTTTTCCCCCAGTCAAACGATGGAGTCTTAAAGTCACAGCGTCCTTTTTGTCAGAAAAACTGCCTGCTTTATGCTATCTAATTTCTCAATTGAAACTGCAAAAGACAGTTATACTTATGGGTTAATAGGCAGGAAGGCTGCACAAAGTGCAGTAAAGGCAGGAGAATGCAGCACTCCTTTTATTTATTTATTTGAAAAGGGTGATGAAGATGCTTCGGCTTCAAAGCCACAGGCTGTGGTGGTTCAGAGGGATGGTTTGTGGGTCAGGAGGTTTGTGTATTCCACTGGCTGTTCTGCATTTGTACAATATAAAGAAGAGGGCAAGGGTGAGGGCTCCCCCGTGTTATTAAAAGGCAATATGGAGTTTTCACTCTTACAGCAGCTTATTTCTTTCTGGCCTACTGACCGTGGCACATTGTCGCGGGAACAAGCTGTGGCTCTTCAGAGCCCCTGGCCACCTCCTGTCGTTCATTATACAACTCCCGTTAGTTCTTGCCAGACCCTAAACTTCCCCCTTCCACCTCTCTCCTGCCTCTCGTGCTGGCTGCAGTCTGCATGGCAAACAAAGCTTGTCTCTGGCCCACTGAAGAAATGCTCTTCCTTGCTCCTCCTTGCTGTGTTCAGTCACTGGTAATGTCTGAAACCTCCTGCTTTGGTTACATTTGAAGAAAGTGTTTCAGGATTAGTGACCATTTGTTGCTGCTGTTCTCTGTAATTTAAACTGGCCTCAGCAGCAGAGGCTGGCTGATGGGTAGTTCCATGAATTCACCTTTTTCAAAATGGCAGCCACCTCTTATTGTTTTCAATAGGGCTGAAGATAGAATGGCCTTTAGGCAAAGATGCCCTATTCAAAATGGCCACCTGCCCTAAATTCCTTCTAAGCTGCATGACCACATGGTTGCGCAGAGGAGAGACGTCTCTCCCCGCCAGCCCAACGCTGGATCTGCACTGAGCTCCAATGGAGCTGCTGTAGCCACACAGGCGCCTTTCACCTGGCCCTGTGTTGAGAGAGGGCTGGGGATAGTCCTCTCTTCCTGAGGCAGCCTGAATCCTGAACCCCTCATACATATCCCCCTAGCCAAAGCCCTCACTCCAACACCTCAGCCTTCTGCCCCAACACTGAGCCTCTTCCTACACTCCAAATCCCACATCCCCAGCCCGAACCCTACGTCCCCTCCCACACCTCAACCCTCTGTCTCAGGCCTGAGCCCCCTCTTCCCTCCAAACCCCTCATCCCTAGCCCCAACGCAGTCCCCAACCCTTAGCCCCTCTCATACTCCAGACCCCTCATGCCTGGCTCCACTCGACAGCCCTCCTCCCTCCCCCTTCTGTCCCAGCCAAGCCCCCTCCTGCACCTGAACCCCTCATCCCCTGCCCCACCCCAAAACCTGCATCCCCCTTTTAGTGGGAGTTTTGAGCGCTCCTCCTTTCCTGATTTTATTAAAAATTCTCAGTTTTAATCATCCTAGGTGATGTTAGCAGCTCAGGCCAAGAGATAGTTTCTCTGTCATGAGTTTTACCTGCCTGGGTCCTTTCTACTTTGAGAGTCTGTTTGGAGCTCAGGAGCGTGGAACGCAGCTTTTCCCTTCAGTGTTTTCTAGGCTGCCATGCCCATATGAATTTCCGTGTTGCAGCTGAAGTTTGTAATAAATGTGCCCTTCTCCCTCCTCCCCTCTACCTTCCCTGACTACTTAGGTTTTAAACTTAAAAACAAATAAAGAAAACCAGTCTCTGATGTGGGGGTTTTTTGAGGGAAATTCGCTTCTCTTATCAGAACTGCTGCATGTGTGATATTAATTGGAATCTTGTTGCTGGGTCATTTTCATTGTTTTTCAAGTACCGTCAAATCCAAGCAAATGTATGAAAACTAAATTATAGTTCCACATAGGCTGTCTGATTGAATCCTCCTTATGGCATTGCAGTCTCATGCAGCCTATTAAAATATTCAATCTTGTTTTCTTACTTGAAGAGCCTGTCTGTAAAGGGCAAACTTATAGAAAACCTCATTCCCTAGAGAGATGGTATCCAGCCACACTGAAATATTTACATATTTCTGTACTGCCT